CCCACCCCACCCCCAAAAAAAAAAAAAAATCTGCATGATCTGTGGGCAGAACATTTTACCTGGTGTCTATCTGCTGTCTAGGATGGGTTTCTCAAAATCTTCCATTGAATTCTCAGACAAGGGGAGATTATTGTTTTGATCATAACCAAAGTTGCTTTATTACTGTTGTATCCTCTGTCATTCTCTTTACACCGAAACTGTTTGTTTACATGTATGGTGACACAAAGGCTTGGTTTCTGTACCTCTTTTAATTCCAAAGGTTAAATTCTTTGGATGGTAGGAAGATGCTACCTTAGGAACACAGATGCTTCCAGCAAAAAGGCAGCACTTTATTTCCCTTCCCTTACTAAAAGTGTCACATGGCTTTACACCTCACGATGGTTTTATGATTGTTACTTTTTCCAAAGTTTTTCATAGACTAGGGTAGTTTTGCTTACCTTCACAAAAAGAGGAAAATATTGAAAAGAACTTGTTACTGTTGTAGCACTGTCACTTAGTGGAAGCTGGTAAGGATATTTTACACATCTATCTGGTGGTAATCAATCAGGCCAAACGTTAGGTTCCTGAATGTTCAATCCTTGATCCTTCATTTAGCTGCTGCTTAAGTCTGCAGGGAAAGACCGAGATACAGTCAGGTCCATGCTAGATGCCTAAGAGTGGAATCTAGAATGGTGCTGGAGACCACTGGTTATTTTTAAGTGCTTGAAGGACAGGAAAGTGCTACGTATGTGGATCCATTACATGCAGCTTTAAGCCAAAAGCAAATTGGTAAACTTAAGCTCAGTATATCTTCCATGCTCCCCACAAATGCCTTAATTCAGAGGCTGCAGTAAGCAGCCTCATCTACTCAATAATCCTCTCCTAGCCCATCAGGGCTTGCTTTTTTAAGAACAGTGCCACACAAGGCAAGATGGGTCCCACTTTAACAAGTAGGACGTCATATGTAAAGGTCTCACAATGTTCTGTTTTGCTATCTGTATTAGGAAGCAAGAAAAGAATGCCCAGCCACACCATAAACAGCTCTGGATGGGCATGTTCTGCCTGTTACTGCAGAAAGGTTGGGGGTAGAGGAGGCAAGTGAAGCCTCATGGTTTGGATAGGTGTGCGTATGAGAAAGAAAGAAACACTTAGTTCTGCTGCTTGAATTGCTTATGTTAGACAGCCACTGTAGTAAGCTGCAACATGGTAAGAGCTGAGAAGTGACTGCTCGCTCTCAAACTGACCGTAGCATCACTTGTAAAACATCTTTGTATTATGATTTTAAGGACCCAAATAAAATCTAGAAATTACCAAATCTCACCAAAGAGCCCGTTATGTCACAGGGCTTTTATATTCCACCATTGCCTTTTGAGGTATTCTGACCGAGTTTCTCCAAAGATTTAAAACAAACAAACAAACAACTCAAACTGTTTTGCTAGCTCCTGCAGCTGAGTCAGAGCAAGCTCTCAGAGTTGTTATGCTGACTTACTTACAAGTGTAACTCATAAGATGGATGAGCAGGTTACACTGAGCAAAGAGAATTAGTACTGATATAAAATAGGATAGCAGACAAGTTCTAGCTGACAATGTCTATATACCACTATTCAGTGTTAAGGTAACTTCATTCTCATGAGTCATTTGCTATTTGAGAAGGGTTTGGATTTTGAAACATGAAAGCCCATGTAGCTTTTACCAGGCACATAGCAGAATAATTTATATTTTGCTTTCCAAGCTGCTTAATTTTTAACTATACTTTGAGCATAGTTTATGTATTTTATATCAGCCTTCAAATCACTCACTGTCACAAAAGCAAAGGATTGATGTAGCCAACTGTCTTAAGACAGGTTCACCTACTTCCCTTTTCATTTAATCATTGTGAAAGTGGTCTAAATCTACTGCAGGAGAAAGGGCAGAAAGTTTTTCTGACCAGAGAAATAAGGATTTTCTTGTGAAGTTATAGTGTGTTCTTAATCACAGCTCTCTGCCTTTAAATTGCTCTTTCGGAATTTCTGCTGTCTGAAGGCAAAATCAGTTGTTAATAGTTTGGAATTTTTTTAAAAAAAATAACAGTCATTTAAGGTTATAGTATCTCACAAATTACCCATTTTCTGGCCTACCACTAGAACAGGACTAAGTATGTGTTACATTTTGTGTTAAGCATGGAATGGCAGATTGCTGGAATATATGAAAAATATCAAATGAAGTTTGGCGTTTTCATCACAGTGTCTATCCCTGTGTATCTTTACAGGCTTGCTCATTATTCTGTAATGATAAAAATAATGGTTGGAAAGTTAACGATCAGTTCTGCATATTTAAGGACAGCTTTTAGCCTGAAGTGGGGAGCAAGACGCTGGCTGTGAGCAGAGGAAGGGAGTGCCATCAGGGAGCCTGACACAGCCCACAGTAGCCACCTCTTGTCCCCACATGTGTGAAGCTTCACTCTTCTCTGCTGTCCTCCTCGGGCATAGGCACCTGTTTAGAACTGGGCCTGTTCATTTATTTTTCAGTATAAACACAAATTATGTTCAGCAAGGTACAGCATCTATAGAATAGTGACAGCAAAGTATTTTTCTATTATAGTACAGAAGGTTTTTGGCCAACATAGCAAACTAATAAGAAAGATTCAGCTTCATAAAGCAACCAGTTATTTTTATAACCTTCTGGCTATCTAGTCATAGTTGGAGTGAATATTTAGTGTGGTTTTTGAGTCACTCAGTATAAACTTAATATTTTTTCAGATGCTTTATATAGAACCATCAAAGTATCATTATAATTTAAGGAGCACACACACAATCTATTGTATTTCAACAGAGAAATTTCACCTAAATCCTTTAGGTGTGTTTGAAAAATTTTGAATTGTCATTAATAGTACTGTAAAGCAACACCAGATCTAAACACTTTCTGTAACAAAAGATAAAATTCATTTACATTTTAATTTACATACACACCAAGTGTTTTGCACTTGGTGATAAACAACAAAATTCCCAGTATTTTCAGCCATCTGGTTCAGTAATTTTTCTGTTTCACAACAGCATAAAATAGTGTTAGATGCAGCTTCGGGAAGCTGTAATAGTCTGAAATCTAAGGATCTTAGACTGAGCATGCCAAAAATTAATCCCAACACCTGTTTGTAAAATTAGCTATTTATAGTAACTCTACATTTTCATACAAATAAAATATGCACCATCTTAAATTAGCAAGAAAGCTGATGAATAATCTTTTGTCAAACTATGAATGATGCTCAGCTGTATCTATCAACAGTGCATAGAATGGCTAAGTGGTGAAGGATGCTGACATAACCTGGAAATGAAATGCTTGTCTATGATAGCTGTTCTCTCCTAGAAAGATGCTAAGTTTACAAACTTTGACAGGAAAATGAGTTTTTCTTTACTTTTTTTGGCACATGAGACTAAACAAAGTTTCATTATTCTGTAGTAATAAAAACATATGATTAAAATTTATAAAACATCAAATGGGAGGGGAAAATAATCTATTTGTTAGCGTGAATATGACCTGTAAAGAAAGGCCAGTCGGAGTAGTGAATACAGCTTCTACCAATTCATTTGTCTATGTTTGCAAGGCAGAAGAAACAAAAAGTGGAAATTACTGGTTTGGAGGTGAGGATGACACAATTTCATTTAATTTGAAATTGTTTCAAAATTTCTGCAAAAATCCCATAGTTACTGAGGAGCATAGCAGGAAAGTAGACCTGGCATATAGGTCATCTGAGTTGTTCAAAGTCAGAGAGCATTTGCAACTTAATTTTTTTTTTTTTAAATTATCGTATTCTTAGAGAAGGACAAGAATGGTTGAACTTCTTTAAACATTCATTTGGCTAATCAGTTGGACAATGACTCAGTCAGGGATTCCAAAGCACATTATAAAGCCTTAAATATGAAGTATGGTTGTCCTCTTTACCTGCTGCTGCTGCTTGTCATTTAGCTTTTCTTCTAACCAAGCTTGGATGATACTTTCATACGACCTACACAGAAATTTTCAATATAGTAGATTGTTGTCTCCTTCAACAGATCAATTTTTTTTTTCCAGTTTATAATGAAGTGATTTTTTTACCCCAATACAGTCCAAAATATGACTATTTATTAAAAAATTACTATATTTTTTAAAATAAACAGAAGAGCCTTAAGTTATTAAAACTACAGAGGAAATCACAATAAACCTGCCTTGTTTGTACTCCATACTAGGTAAATGTTAGTTCATGTCATTACCAAGCCTGACTCCTCTTGCAGGTTGTCAACCTTTCCGTTTATGGCTGCTCTTGTCTTTCTTCCCCTCTTATTACAGCTCCAACCTCTTCTGCGAATTAGGTTTCTTTGATGTACCTGGCTCTATTCTATCTGTGATAACCCTCCGATGTCTTTGAGAAGAGATTACAAATTATCTTCTCATTTATGTTTTTTTATTGCCTTTTTTTCTTTTAAGGCCACTGGCCTTAATAAACAGGTTTAAGCTCTCCTTAGGGATTTTTCTGCATGTTAATTGACAAATACAGCTCCACAATCCATGGCTTTCAACTCATGTTTCAGTAGTGTCATTCTTTAGGCAGTTATCTATTCCTGAGAATTTTTTTCTAATTTCCTGTAGAAATGCTTCCTCTAGAGCATTCCTTCTTTATAGCCAAAGGAGTAGCAAGATGACAAGCAGTAACCATAAAGATGTCAGAGTCCAGCAACCCTAAACAGAGCTAGTGAAGCAGAATAAAGTTTTTACTAATTATTTATTACTATTAGAATTATTTATTGCTGTTTACTAATCATTTGTTTAAACTGCAAGTTCAGGTAAATGGTTTCCTTTTAATTTTATGCTTTATGAACCACTAAAGGATGAAGGTAAACACGACACCTTCAGTAGTACTTGCTATAGAACTTTCTCTACAACTCCAGCAGCTGTGTAAGCCTCAGTAAATAACCTCAACAGTATCTTCTGTTGTAACTACATTTTATGCATAAACATCACCTGCTAACTAAATACATACTCTCTTTTTCTGTTCTTTTTTTAAACAGGTATTAAAGCTGTATTTTCTGGACATTACCATAGGAATGCTGGGGGATCCTACAAAGGACTGGAAATGGTGGTTTCATCAGCAATAGGATGTCAGCTGGGAGAAGATACACATGGGCTTCGAGTGGTTGTAGTTACAGATGAAAAGATTGTTCATAGATACTACAGTTTAAATGAACTGAGCAGCCAAGGCATAGAGAAAGAGCTGCTAGATATGCTTGCTAAGCAAAATTAGGCTCTGTCAAATTATGTAACTTTTTTTTCCATATTAGACAAATAGAGTTTCAGAAAGTTTCCCCAAGGTGAAGAGATTTCTGACTGTGTACCATGCCCCAGAACATCTCTCAATTTGTTATCATCCTAAATAACAGGAAAGGTGTTGACGTGTTTCTCCTTTTGAAAATGAGACCTGTGAGGAATATGGAAGAATAGCAGAACCAATATGATAATGTATCATTGAAAAGAACTGTTCTGACAATTTTTACTTTACTCCTAGATAAGACTTTCTTTTTAGAGAGAAGGTGTACCAAAGAGAATTGAAGCTTCTAGATAATCCTTTAAGAGTATTTTAATTTTATATTTGAGAGGGTATTTTGAAATGAATAAATTTAGTAATTTCTGTTACATTCCAGACAATATAAATACACAAAACAATTTTTTACTTCGTAAAAACAAATGTCAAAACCTCTGAAGTCAACAGACTCCCACTGACATTTAGTAACCATTGGATCAGATCTTGTTACCTACAGGTCATATTTTCTCCCATTTCCTACACTTTTATTTTCTTAGCTCTTCAGAGCCAGCAGCAGTGGGAGAGAAAACACATTCTTTTTTTGCAGTCACAGTTCAAGTTTCTGTTATATCCTAGTTCTATTTAATGAAAAGTCTATAAATGAAGCTAATATAAATGCCAGTGACAGAAACTAGGCATGGAACAACTATTTTCCTTTTGAAAGTTAACTACCATTCAATTAGCATATATTCTTTCTATAGCTTCAGAATTTGGAATAATTGCATGAGGCAAATATTCTGTACCAGAATACTGTTACCAGAAGTCAGTTCGTTGGTTCCTAGACAAGGGGAGAGCTTTGATTTCAAATGCAATTTAGGAGTGCCTTACTGTAATATTACACAATATTGAATATTGAAAACACTAAAAAGTGTGTTTTCTTCACTGCAATAAATCTTTAAAATTAAATTATATAAAACGGAGTTTGTGCTGCAATCCAACTTTTTTTTTTTTTTTAGCAAGTATATCTGATTTGTTTACTGTTAAATAGAAGAAAAGTCTTCATGTTCTTAACACATACCTGTTTTTATTTTTTAAATATTTTGTTTAACACATTATAATCCATGCCACAGGTTATCTAGAAATAGAGATAGCGCAGCTTTAGCACCTGAAGAGGGAAGAACACAATACTGGCTGAAAAAGCAATTCATTCCACCAATTTGTATGTATGCTCACATAGATCACTGTTCCCTAGAGGATATTACAGATATTTAAATATGGTGAGAGAGATGAAATGATGCTGTGCTGAAGAGTCAGTTTCATTACGTTTTAGTCACAACAGTTTATCTAGGAGGCTCCTGCAAGCTTGATTTGTGGGACTTGTGAGATTCTAAAATTACCTGTGTAGCATTTCCTTGCACCAGTGAAACAGCTGTACCTGCAGATGGACAGGACAACATCTGGACTACTGTCCCATGACAGTAACCTAAGCGTAGATAATGTTTGATTCAGGAGGGAATTATTTTGCCTTTATACCCTGCCTGGTTTCTCTTAGTTGAAAGTTTTCACAGTCTCATTTTCAAGGGAACATCTGAGAAATGAGAACTAAAATCTAAGGCTAGAGTACTTCAAAACAGGTAGGTACCTAATACCCAAATGGTAGTTTCACTGGAAGTTAAGCACTCATTAGTTCAGACTCTGGTTTTAAAACTCTGTGGACTTAGATATCTTTTAAGTCACTGATTACTTTTAAAATTTGTTCTTGTCTAGCTGGGAGCTATTTAGTAATTGCAGCTAATTAACACTTTCAAGAATGAGATGCCAGTTTGTTTTGCAGAGGGAAGAATAGTCTCTCTATGACTTAAATCTTTTAAGTCAGTTTACATCATAAGGCTGAAGAAGTTTAGTGGAGGGACCTGACATAATCTGAGCATGGAGTATTCTCTCTGCTCCAGTGCAGTTTTGTAAAACTGAATGGAGGAAAAGTTTAAACAGTTTTTCAATATGCCTGTTTATTAAAGGATATCATTTTAACTAAATATATGAAGGTTGGGAGATCAAAGCATAACTCCAGGAGAAAGTCTTCCCACAAATATGAAAATGCTAATAGTAATATATAGTGTTCTGAAATTTTATTTTCAGGGTTACAGTGTACTAATATGCAAAATAAATGTTTATATAAGCATAATGTTAATTCTTATTTTTAAATTCTTTCACTTTTTTAAAGTGTCATTTCACTGTAAAAAATTCTATGGCATTTTGTCATGAAAATATCACTTAAGTACAAAGCTGAAGTTCAATTTTAAAAAATAAACATTTCTTTATATCCCAAATTATTCCTTTATTTAGTGATTTCTAAGAATATCTTATTATGTTCATGTGTAAAAATATTACCAGGTTTGTCTTCAGTTTTGAGTTTTATAAGGTAGTAAAGTTGGGCTGCAGATTTTTATTGAATGCCTTCTTGTCCTGTATACAATTTTGGGAGCTAACAGTGGCGTTGTGTAGCTACATGTTATGTAGGATTTTGCCTGTATTTCTGTCCCACCTGTTCTGAGGACAGGTAATCATTAAGTGGTGTACTTACTCATATTGTCTACTGAACTAGATGGTAAAGTAGAAAACCCCAGATATATTCTGAAAGACTTGATGACAAATGTGATTAACTTCACAGGATGAAGAAAAATATTATCTTTTATACTTGAAACATGGAAAACATTTGTTTTGGTTCTCACCTTGCAAGTTTTCAAAAGGAAGAAAATTAAAATGCCAAAGCTGATCAGGTTGTGTACATAACTATAGCTTTGTAGCCTGGATGATATTCTGATGAACAGAACATTGGCTGAAATGAGGGAATGGCCGCTGTAGCCCTTTGACCTTGTTGAGCCCATGCCCCAATTCAGTGAAGTAAGAATTCCCTGCACTAGCCTGAAAGAGGAAGAGGTATCCAGCATTTCATCACTCATTCTTTTTGCCATTGCCTTAGTTTGACAAGCATACTCAGCGCACAAACTTTTTGGCATCCTAAAATCTAAGATAATGGGAAAATAAATAAATCCACATTATTATATAATAATATTTAATAATATATAATATATAATAATTATTATTCAAGAAATTGAAATCCAAAGTGTTTCAAAACATTTCTTATTTTGACTGACAAACTCAAAACTTCCACCCAATTTCTCATTCATTTGAAGTGGATGCAATCACGTGTAACTCAGATGAAAACACGTCGTCATTTATATAATACAATCATGGGAAGGATTTTTAATCATAGTGTGTTGCTGGACATTAGTGTATGAAGCAAAGAGTTAAAAAAAATAAAATAGGAGTGTGCTTGTTTACCAGCATAAATGACAAATTTCAGTTGATCACTTTTCTTAGCATAATTAGCTTATTTAGAATTAATACTGCTGCCTTAACTCATTTGAAATGACAGACGTCCTTGTGGTCCTCATCTTGTTTATGTAAAGAAAATAATTCATATTATGTTAAATAATGAAACAATCCACCTATGGATACACTAATTATTATGTAAAAAAAAATATCTTTTCATGTTGAGGATGTTATTTTTGTATCTCCAAGCAGGGCTAAATGTAACTCTCTGTCAGCATATGGCTGACTTTAAAGCAAGATGTCAATAAAAGTTCAAACTGTTGATTAAATAAGAGAGCAAGTGAGCCCTCACGCATTTCTGTGGACTCAAGGGGTTGGGCAGAGAGAGAAAAAAAAAGTGACCACAATTCATTTTGGTTTCCTGTGGGCAGCTAAAAGGCTGAGATAACCCCTGATGACTGTTACTAAATGTGGAAAATTCATATTAGAACACCAGAGCAACCTGTGAAAGTAACCACATACTACATCATTAAGTGTAAACTGAGGTGGAGACCTATGAGCAGGAGGCAAATTACTGAAAAAAATGTCTTTGAGCTCAATCTTAGTTCACCAGTTTCAGTCCAAGCAACAAATTTTAAGACCACACTTCTTCCAAATCTCTACAAAACGGTCATTAAGCCCTGAATGCAGTGGGTGTACTGCCTGCCTTTAGTTCGCTTGGGTCCAGCATCTAACCTTTGAAGGCTTAATAGAGGCAATATTTTGATGGGCCTACACTATTCAACCTCTGGAGATCACAGACAGAAAATAAACACTTGATGGTTTGTTAAAACTTAATCAGATTTTTATGTTGGGAATGGGCAGTGGCGGAAGTAACGTCTCTTCCACCATCCTTATTCGCAGAGCAGACACCCTGCGCTCACCCTGCTTCACTGACTGCTTACCTCAGTGCAGCAACTTGCTTTCTAATGTCTGGTTTTTCCACACATTATCCTCAAGTAGCTTAAATAATTAGAGACACATCTAACATAAGCAAATATACGAAGCATTAAAAACTAAACATTTCACTGCTTAAAAGCGTGCAGTTCCTCTCTCTGTATGTCATTGTACAAGCCATTCCAGGCTAACACGTCATTGTCTCAGCTAATGTGAATGCTGTGAATAAGCTGCTTTTCTTAATGCTCTCATTAAGCCTTCTTTGCAACTACTATTTGAACGCAGCACTACACTTTAAAGCAAGGGAAACATTTATGCATACATTAGTTATCAGAACCCTTGCCTGCCAAGCACACCCTAACACTCCCTATTACTTCGTGATAAACAGTCACCATGTAGAAATGCCAGTTTGCATTAGAAAAACTCTAAAGAGGGAATTTCTGCTTCACTAATACTCTACAGCTGCTAGGATCTTCTTTCTCTTTTGACTGCGCCGACATATGAAACGTCACGTCACTGGCAGGTATGGAAAGGCAAAGCCAGGTGATTTGGGCTGCCAGCATGTCAGTCTCAGGTGCCATGAACCACTATGAAAATAACATCCAGCAGAAGGGCAGATTTCCCAGGCTCAGGCAGATACGAGACATACTAAAAAAAGAGAGCTAACACAAGAAACCTTTCTGTGGCCAGCATGTAAGGCCAAGATGTGAATCTGTTGCTCCAGCTCCTTTCACCTGGACCTCAAGCAGCCATGTGGTGGCTTCCACATCCACCACCTTGAAGTTTATTCCAATGGCAGCTTGGAAGGCCAAAGGATGCTGCCAGCACCACACCACTGACAGCAGACTTACAAAAAGGAGGGCTTAAATAATGACAGATTTGTAGGGCTTTTTTTAGAAAAGTTTTTTAGACTATCTGTTTTAGCAATCAAAATTATTTCCTCTTATTATGGAGCAAGGTCTCATGAGTAGTTTGCACCGATTCTAATCCCATTCTCCCCAACAGAAAGGGGTTTTATTAATTGCTTGTTACACAATCATCTGGAGATTAGCAATTCAGAGCTGATAAATGCAGGCACTGTGCTCTTGGACACATTTTCATTGGAAGATGCTCTGTAAAAAATTGGAAAAATAAAACATACAATAGAGAAACGCTTTAGACCAGAATATTAAATTAGCCTCCAGCCTAAATGAAATCCAGCTCCGATGCAGCAGATACAAAGGGGGTAGGGGGAAATATCCCAAAACACAGAACTAAGGCAACAGAGACAAACCAAAAGCTTTTCAAGCTATACGACAAACATACCCAGCACTTCTCTTAAGAAAAAACCAGACAAAATAACAACCCACAACTCAGAGAGCCATTACTTTTTTTTTAATTGACATTTTCATTTGTTTCTCTAGAAGTAATTTCCTCCGTTAGCACTTTGTCAAATGCAGGTAGTTTAGTACATTTCTACTAATAAACAGCTTTTTTTCCCCTCTAAGAGACCCATTAAAGCCTCATCCTATTTAAAATTATAGTGCTGTTATGTCACTTTTGGGTAGCCAGCAATTGAAACATCCATCTTCTGAATATATATCTGTCTGTCTTGAACATTGTTTAGAAAGGTACTGTTGAAAAAACACAATGTGGCCTTTTAAGTGCATTGGTAATGGCATTAGCAATGCATAATCAAATTTTTCTCACCCATTTCCATATAAAAAAGGCACAGAAATGTAAGGAGGTATCTCACACTGTTCTAATGCCCTGAGATCAGCAGTCCTACATATGGCAAACTGCCTGTCCAGAAATTTTCCAAATAGTGTGTCAACAGCACACCAGTTAGGAAATAAACAACTTGTATTTGGATACATGTGAGACAACAATATTGCCACAGAAATACATGGTTCTTCCAGCACACCACAAGCACTGAAGACGAGAGGATGCTAATGGGGCAGAGTGCACAGACAATGACTCTTCTGTCCTTTTTTTTACAAAGCCTGAGCTGAACTTAGTCTTACCCTTCTATTAATTCCAAGTCTTGGGCTGTCATAACCAATGAGGAGGAGATGGAACCACCTCGCTTTACTTCACCTGTGTACTGACGTTCCAGTCTGGTCAGCTAGAGTCTTTGCTATGTGTGGAGATAGGTAACTCCCGCAGGTAATTCATCCTGTCCTGCAACTGATGGGTGGACTGAAGTGCCCCTGAAGATGCCTCTACTGCCTACTGTGCTAATCTAGGTGATTCACTTAGAAAGATTCCTAACCTTTACTTCAGGTTAGGCTAACCTAGGCTAACCCTGGAGGAGGTAATGTCTGCTCCCATCTGTGCCTGGCTCCT